TAAATTATACATATAATTGAATATGACTATATTTGACAATAACATACATTTTGACATAAAATATCAATCCTATTTTATTTGTCAATTCTTTTTTATCTTATGTATTATTTTGGAGGCAATTACAACATTATCCAAGCTTTTATAATTATTTTGTTAAAGTCTATACTAAATTATGGGGTAAACACATTTTGAAGAACATATTGAATATCTGTATTAACATAAATACATTTTATAATTGATATAGTAAATCAAACTGTTTTTAATAATTTCTGCATTTAATTAAATGGTTGTGAATTGTAAATCGGAGATAATATTTCCATCATACATTTTCATTCATACAACATTTTATCTGTAATTCAGAATATGTTTTCCATGGAAAATATCATTTAAGATATTTGTTCATAATAATATATAATTAAGCCATAGGCCTATTAAAGGGACATGTTTACATTTTCCTACCTCCATGTATTTAACACATTAAATGAAGAATGAAGTCATTCTTTAAGTGATGAAACAGTTGTATTATAACAACAGTGCGTTTAGTCTCTGTAGGTGAACGTGACGGAGTTTTTCGGAGGTGTTACAGTACGGCGTGTGTGCTTTGCGAGTCAGTGGGACAATAGGTCATCTGTGCCCCGCACAAGAGGGCGGAGACACCATCGCCAAGGAGACTAAAGCTTCTCACCTGATTGGCTGAATTGGGGTTTTGAATCGTTTACTTTGGACCGACTCTGTAGGATTTTGTTCTCAATTAAATGTGGAATGCAGAGTTTTTTGGGGTGCCTGTGTGTATGTGCCCTTTCTTTTTATTCATAGGCAAATATAAAGGTCCCTTTAGAGAGGTTTGTGGAGTGAGCAAGAGTGATATCACCAAATCCGAAGTCTTTTAACAGTCTTTTTAGTGATGTGATTTAACTCTAGCGATGTCAAAGTGTTTCTGCTATAGGCGCAAATACACAAGAGCCACTCTAGCACTCTTTAAATCTTTTTTTTGTTGTTGTTTTTCGGTTTAGCACAAACATTCAAAATGCAGGAAAGCCTATTCCTGTATTTCTGAAGTAGAGTTTTTTTGGTTTGAACGTAAAACAGCATATTTAACGCAAGGGACATATAAGCTTTAATGAACCTACATTAGAACGCAAATACACAAGAGCCACTCTAGCACTCTTTAAATCTTTTTTTTGTTGTTGTTTTTCGGTTTAGCACAAACATTCAAAATGCAGGAAAGCCTATTCCTGTATTTCTGAAGTAGAGTTTTTTTGGTTTGAACATAAACAGCATATTTAACGCAAGGGACATATAAGCTTTAATGAACCTACATTAGAAAAAACACTCTTCGACAACTTTGAAATGTGTCTCTCCAGCCTTCATACGCGAGGAAAACATAAAAGGCTGACCAATCATAGACGAGCATGAAAATCAGGCTGATCTAAAATAATTAATATGTCCTTGAGAAAAACAAAGGGCCCTCACAAAGCGAGAGACGGAGCTATAGATATAGGAAAGATGGCTGATAATTGTTTTCAAGTCCTAGGCTATCTGTAAATGAGTTTGTTGTGCTGAAAACACTGTGTTTCCTGTCTTTTATACAGCTCCCAGTTTTTTTTCTTTCTTTCTATTCCTTGCCTTTGTTTCTTGTCATCCCAGCTCTCATATTTACTGTCTCCCTGGCTTTCATGGAGCTCCCGCTGCAAATTCTTTTGTGTACCAGGCTTTTAACATCTTTGCCCGGCTATTTATTTCTCCTCTCTGCTTTCACCCCAGACTTTGAATCTGTGCAACAGAAGACATTTTACCTCAGCTTTTATTGGTAATTAGGCGATGTCCTCCCTCACCCCCGTGACCCCTGTGAGATGCATCAGGATCACAGAGTAAACAAGCACAGAAGGGCCTCATGCTGCACGCACAGAGATGGTTTGTGCTCAGTGTTTGTTTCTTTCTTTCTTTCGATGTCTCAGTGCAAATATTCTGAAACAATTTCCAGTATCTGCTGTAACGTTTGCTCAAAGGGAAGGTTTCCATATCAAATGCTTTTTCATTAAGATCAATATATTTTTAGCTATATTATTTATATAATTATTATATTTACTATATATATAATGAAATTAATATATATTATATCAAATTAATGCATAAATTGTTTTACACTACCAGTCAGAAATTTGGATTAACTGGAATTATTTTTCACATTACCTTTATGCTTAAATGGTTGGGATTAGTTTGTAAATAAACATGAAATATGAATTAGTTTAAGTATTAGCTTACAGATAAATATGAAGTATGAAGCTATTTGCAAAACTGCTATTGTTAATAACATTATAACATATTTATAGGAAAGAATGAAAGGCAAGTGTCCAGCATATGTGCACACCTTCAATGGATCACAAATAATAATAATAATAATTAAAAAAAAAAACTTTATCACATTATAATTGAACATACATTCATTTGTTTTTTATTACAATTTACTATTATTTTAAAATGTGGGAAATTATAAAAATAAAAAAATTGAACTTTATTCATAAATGTCTAAAACTCAGTGTGTGGAGAGTGGATAATTGGGTCTGCAGCCATTGCAATAAAAGATTAAATAAAGAGTAACAAAGCTCCATTAGACCAACAAGCCTTTTTTTTTTATATATATCTGCAGAGCCGAAAATAAGTGCTCGCAGCAGTAATGTGGTGTGAAAAGATGGCCAAGCGGTCAAAAGAAAAAAGGTGACTGCTTGATAACCTTCCACGAGCGACTGGCACATTTCATTTTAAAAATAACTGAGGTTGTTTTGTGGTCAACATTTAAATTGAATGCGAGGCGTCATCTCACGATTTTCAAACACGGAGTCTGGGACGTGTTGCAAATCATTTACAAAATGTTTCAGTGATCCAGGGTTCGCCATTAGTCTCGGTAAGGTCATGTGAGCTCTCATGTGGCCGGTCTTTCGGGTCCCAACCCCCACAATACACTCCAGTTTTCCACAAAGTGGGCTCAGGGGAACAAGGTTTCCCCAGACGCATCTCCAAACTTCAGTCATTTTGTCAGATGAATGCTGGTTATACATAGCCCTATTTGCATTGCAAGTTTCATTAAATCCCGGAGTGTCATTACAGTTCATATTCTTAATTATACCGCAAATTTCCCTCAGGGAACTTTGTGGAGGCCACTTCTCCCCACGATCTGTCCATATGGTGTTTAATTAAAAGTTTTCTTAAAGAGTAAATTGCATTCAATTCAATTAAAACTGTAATGTCATAGCCAAATAATGGGCTCAGCCAGTGTGGAGGAAAAAGGAATATCATTTCGCAATATTTGCAGCAAAAAAAGTGCAGATCTTGTTTTTTTCCCTTCTCTTTCTTAAAAAAAGAAAAGAAAAAAATCCCGGAACAAAATATGCAAGAGGCAAATATCACTAAAAACCTCCTACATGTTATCAGGCCTCAGGCACTGCACATTAACATTGCTGGAGCTATTTCTAGATTCCACTCTTGGATTTCATACCATGACAAATGAAGCGTTGGAGTTTGGAATTCCTATTTATCTGCAGCGAACAGAGGCACCTCTTTGGGGGAGAAGAATGGAGGGTTTAAGAGCGAGAGACAAAAAAAATCCATTTTGCAGGATAAATAAAAAAATAAAAAAATAGATGGCGTTGTGTTTTGGAAGGTAAACCAGCGTGATTGCGTCTGGTGAGAGGGCGGCACGGTGCCGGTGTCAAAACATTTCTATCGGGCCAGCAATGCCAGACTGTTCTCTATGCAGACTTTAATAATGTGAGGGCAGATACAGTCCTGAGGGCAGAGTGGGTGACCACAGAACATCTTTAAATGGGGGGGAATTACAGATTGTTAAGAACACGCGGCTCCCAACAACCATCTGCTGGGACTGAGGTGTCTTCTTTTTTTAATTCGTAAAAACCTCTAAATCGTTATGGAAAGTAGAAAATAAGTTCTGTCTCCCTCCTCTTCTCTGCCGTTCTCACATTTCTGAACAGTGGAGGCCCCTGAAGCATAAACAAAGCCCAGTGTGTTTCCTCTGTGAGTGGAGGGAAATGGACTGCAGAAGGTTGGCCCCGTGCTGATGGACCGCACCACAGTGTTTACCCCCCTGCCCACACGACACACGCGGGTCAGGGCCACAGACAGACTCTCACACACGATCTGCTACCCCATCTCTTCCAGATCAATGGATTCAAGAGAAATAATCAGTTACTTGGGATCATGTGACCCACTTTATGAACGTTAAGCTGTCTACACTGATGTCAGCATGCTGTTCCGGGCAAGTTATCTCAAGCCTTCACAAAGCCAATAAAGCACATGCTCAGAAGTATAATATTAGTGGAAAAAAACTATTTTTATTGTTTAAGATAACGCAATGTTTTTCCATTATAAATTGCACTTTCTATATCATTAGCATTCTAAGAGAATTTGAATTGAAAATATTGTCCCCCTATTTTTCTTTAATGACAGCGGTATTTGAGCTGCATGAACTCTACAAGTTTGTGTGAAACCTGATGATAATGTTCTCCAGCATGATTTGAAATGATCTAAAGAAGAACATCTGACCGTCTGAGTAGAATTTCATTAGTAACCTAGAATTTTTTCATAATGTGAAATATTTCTTGCTCGTTTGATTATTTGTTTTACATTACAATCCTAAAACTGTGTATTTCTAGGTTAAAATTAGATTTTAAATCTCATATTGTCAATGTGGCCTCAGACTTTTGAAACCCACTGAATAATATCAAAAATATAATGTGCTTATACTAATAAATTATTAATGATTGATTTTATTAAAACGAACACCTTCACCATAGCGCTGGTGGTGGACTAATGGTTAAGGATCTGGATTTCTAACCAACACACTCGGTAGTTCAGTCCTTAGTTAAGTTAACGCAGCAGTGTTTCACTCCATACAAAAAGGTATATCTGCTTGTCATGAATATACACATAAAGTAAAAGGCACAGGTGTGGGCAGAGATTCATTTGTGGGTCTAAGTGCTTACCTGGGCCTGTTGTGTGATAGAATCCCATCCTTGCAGTATTCCGTCCAGAGGATCATGCAGTATGGCACAGTCCCCTCTGACCTCATCCTGCAATTTCAAAATGGGACACATGACTCTTTGGTTTCCAAAAAGCCAGTGCTTCTTAACCTTTCTGACTCCAAGCCCCCTCACTGTCCACAACAAAATTTGAATCCCCCATGACTTTTACATTTTTTTATGATTTACTGGATGCATAGTAAAATATTTTAGAGATTGGAATAACTAGAAAAATGTATATTAATAAAATATATAAAAAATGCCAAGATTGTAATAATTTACATGACTTTACCAAGTCTTGAAATCACACTTTTAAAATTAGGCTTCCTCATAGAATCCAGGTGGTTCAAAGTTCCTCGTTGAGGAATTAAATAAGAAATAACTTGATTTCCAGTTGTCTTAACACATGTTAATGTTTTTTTCCCCTTCTCAAACCATTTATAGTCATCTTGAGGCCTTATTGGAAGTTTGTCTGAAGCCCCCTAGTCGGCCCCGGGCCCACTGGTAGAGAATTGAATCCTCGTTTAATCTTCATGATGTATTTCACTTTAATTTTTTTCCTCAGTTCTCACATGCATTTGGAATGTTATTGTAATTTCTACCATTTATTAATTACAAAATTTGTTGGCTAAAAATTATTTTTAAATGTTACATTTCTGATTTTTCATAATTTTTTTCATAATTCTCTATAGTCTGCATTTGTGCTTATAAGAGGTTGTTTCATGGCGGACTCTATTGTGACAACACTATTGCCTAATGCCTATGTAGAAACTAATTGAGAAATATTCCCTTATGTAATTTATGTTCTGACTTGACTAAACGTTTATTTCATACTCCATTACAGCGTTCCCCTGACACATTCATATTTATTGCATTCAGTTTTTAGCTGTCCTGTTTTTGCTTCAACCAGTCTCAATTTAAGGTTCCTATCTCGACTCCTCTCTGTTTGTTCGTATCAAGTCCGAGGCACTAAGCTAAACAAGGCAGCCAAAGGCTCTCGAGGTCTCAACATGTCACCGAACTTCTCATCTCCATGTATTTAGCAAGCATGTCTGAGAGCGTGGTCCACCCTCGAACTCCTCCGAAACTCGGAGAGGGACATATTCTTCACTTTTAATTGAATGTCAAGAGTGGTCCACAGATTAACTCGGCTCCCATCACACAGATAAAGCAATGCTTCATTATTTGTTATTGGTATTTACGGAGTGTCATCGCTCCCCACTGGCTGAAGGGATTAGAGTCCAAGAGCTAGCGGCTTAGCGGGACACTGAGAAGAACCCTTCCCAAAAACCGATGCGGAAGAACTCCACGTCCACCCCTCGCAAAAACAATCACAGAGATTCTCCACCCCTGATGACATCCCTTTCAACAGCCTCTTAGAGAAAGAAAGTTGGGGAAAGTGTGCTTTCAGAGCGCGCATCAAATGAAGCCGAAGGGAAGATGAATATAATGAGGGAACTAAAGAGCAGTTGAGAAACGGTGAGAGCAGTTTCATGACATTAATGGAAAGACATTATCCACGTAGGAAAGCAGTTTTGGTGAAAACAGGGGTTTAAAAAAGTAAAAATACATTTAAAATAATAATAATAATAATAAAGAGACCTCAATGAATGAATAAATGAATCCAGATTTTCTCAGATATTTGGACCACACGGTATAAAATCTTTTGATTTTGATAAGAATGAATGAATAAATAAATAAATAAATAGTCAAACAAACTAACTAATAATAATCAATTCAGATTCTTTTTCTATTAGCCTACTCTATAAATTGCTCTATTTCCCCCCACTTACAACTGTTCAAGAATGCAGTCTAAACAAAGATTCAATTTTGAAAGAATTGGGCACTGAGAGACTAATGATTTCCTCTGATCTGAATATTGTCCTTTTCAATGTCTACGGGGGCCCTACAGTTAAAATTGCTCTCTTTTCTGTTTTGTATCAGCATTTTAAATGAGGCATAAGCTATTTTTGCAGTCTTCTACTTGTTTCTCTCATACAGATTTTCTCAGGTGCTTTTTACGCACTTCTAAATTAACGCCAGTGCTCTCAAAAAACAAAATACACCTGAATCTGACCCACATCAAAAGAAATGTGTTATTTGAAAAGAATGTACTTCATTATACAGTGAAACTGAACTGTTTAGGGAAATTAAGAGTCAGTTTCAATCGCTATGTTAATTGTTTTGACAGCACTGACCTTAGTTTGGAGATTTGGACAATTAACATGCATGACATGTCATTGAATTAAAACATTACAAATAAAAGAAGAAAAAGAACAAGTGGAATCTGCAAAGAAATGATGCTAGAGCTTTACTCTATTCACTTAATGGCAGATTTTTGCAAGTTTGTCTCCCAATGCTAAAATAATCTTGCGGATAACATCTATTGTTATATCTATTGTTTTATAAACTGAAACATAACAAACTTCTTTTTGCGAATGTTATACTTTCTTTACAATTAACTTTTTTATATGCAGTGTCTAAAATACGTTGAGGCCACTGTCAAATCAATTACGGAATAAAGTGGTAATTCTTGAGCTATTTTCCCTTCATGTCACACACTCCAAAGTGACTCTGTGCCCTGTCACTTCCCTCTGTTGACACATCTTCCCTGGTTTTCCTGTACATTGGTATTTTTATCTCTCCGCTCGGCCCTAGTCTTCCTGTCACCCTCACTCCATCTTTCCCTCGACGTTTCAGCTTTTTTCCCTCTCTCTCGGCTGCTCTGTACTGCCAGTTTTGCTGACAGACAGCCGTGTTCCGATGGCATCTGCCTGCTGCTCTACAGCTTGTGTGTGTGATCAGCTGTCTCCAGCTTCTCAACTCTTCATCTCCTCTTCTTAGCGGGCCTCTTCTGAGCGCGTGCAGCTTGCGTGCCAGCTTCCAGCCTCCGTTAACTCCTATACCATCTTATGTACTGCCAAAGCAGATTGTGTTTGGAGGGCAAGCAATTAAGGGGTAGAAAAAAACTGTAATGTAATTTTGGCTGCAATATTTACAGAAATGGTAAAGCTTAAGCGCAGAAACATGACAAAGTCAACACCGTGGAGAATAATGATTTAGAGCCCAGATTTAGAGGGAAAGGAGGCTGGCACATTCCTAATTACACAAGGCCAAATGTCAAGCCTGCTTGCTGTCAACGTGTTTTGTTACCGTTTTTTCTCCCGCCGCTTTTTTCAAGCAATTTCAGCCATGTTTTATGAATCTCATTATAAGTCATTAAACTCCACTACACATTTCATGGGCTCCTCTCTTCGAGGCCTGTGCGAGAAGGAGTTTTTTCTTCTTCGGCGGGTGCCTGCGAGCGCCCGTGTCCGTTTAATGGAATGAGGAAGGGCGAGAAATGACCACCATTAATTCACCTCTGCTCAGGGGCACCGAGGCAGCAAACAACGGTAAATGAATTAAGACACTCCACAACAAGACGTTTAGCCTGGAAGACGTGAAATTTCTCACAGTAATATCACACTCAGAGCGTAATTCAGTGTGTAATATCATCAAGCCCTCATGCTCTCCTCTCGGGAACGATCACCTGGGACCTCAATTACTGAGAGATAATTAAATAAACCTGTGGGGCTTTTTTCTGTTGTAAGAGCTAAAACATTCCGCTTTGGTCATACATGCGCTTTCGCTCTCTCCACCGAAAGAATCTTCTTCTCTGGTATGTGCTCTGCTAGAGTTTGTAGGGAATTAGTTTGCATAGCCAGACATTTGACTACTAGCATTAAGTCTAAGGTCAAGAACCGCTCACTCAGACAGCAAAAAGATCATCTGATTGACATATAAAGCAACCAACCACAGTTTGATTTGTTTTTACATGCCATTTTAAATTTGAAAAGGTCTAACAGACACATGCATACATACATAATAAAATAAACTAAAATAGACTAGTGAGGAAAATGAGTTCAAATAATGGCACAGCAGTCTTATACTTTATATTCACTCTTAAAAATAAAGGTGCTTCAAAAGGTTCTTAACAGCGATGCCATAGAATAACCATTTTTGGTCAAAGGTTGACCATTCAGTCAAAGGTTCTTTAAAGAACCATCTCTTTCTTACCTTTTTATAATCTGAAGAACCTTCTTTCGCCCCAAAGAACCTTTTGTGAAACAGAAAGGTTCTTCAGATGTTAAAGGTTCTTTATGGAACCATTTAGACAAAAAGGTTCTTCTATGGCATCGTGAAGCACCTTTATTTTTAAGAGTGTTGAACCCCCCCCCACACACACACATAATAAAATAAAATAAAATAGACTAGTGAGGAAAATGAATTCATATAATGGTACAGCAGTCTTATATATATACTTTATATTGAATACACACACAAGCACACACTATTAATAACAGTATTAATAACATTATAAAATAATATAAAATATATTAAAATAAAATAAACTGATGAGATTTTTGAAGCAATGGCAAAACTGTCTTTGCTAGCAATTGAACAGAATAAAAATAAAAATACAGGTAAACATTTAATAATTATTACATATATTTTATATTGCTATTTAAGGATAAATATAATTTAATTACATGAAATTATATAAATACATATAATAATAATAATAATCATAAATAATATAATAAATATAATATATAATAAGTTATATAAATAAATATATTTAACATTTAAAAATTTTAACAGAATTGTATATATTTTTTATATATTTCATAGAATTTCTGCTATTAGAATATGGCCTATTTCAAATATAACAAATACAAACGTAATAAAATAAAGTCTTATATAAAGACTTATGTTTAATAAATGAAGAAATAAGTTGTGCTATAGGCTAGTTATGTGTCGATAGTTTTGAAAAAACGTGGATGCCACTAACCTTGCAAACTTTGCCAATTCTTCCTCAAATCTATTCATTGTATCAACCTGAACCTTTATAATATTTCGTTTCAGGTGGACTAATACCCCTAGTGTGCTTCTACTCCTTGAAGTAACACAAGGCCAGCCAATTTGAACAAAACTGGCGATTTCATCCATGTGATGTGCAGTATCCATCAGTCGGTCAGTTGAGTGACTGTGGTCTCAGACTAGTAGGG